TCTGCCACCATGCCCAGGCCCCTATCATCATCTTATCACCTTTCACCATCATATGAGCCATCCTGACTTTACTAACTTAATTTTCTGTCACTTTCGTCATACCTTCTAGGCTTCAACTGTAGGAAAAGTATGATGGCTCCTTAAAAGTACTTTGCTAGTTTGAAGCTTGTGAGCCTTTTCACATGTTCTATAAATGGCCTATCTCTTTCCTCTTAAACCGGTGAGCTGATGTTTTGAGGTAATTTCCAGTATATCCTCTGAGCATCCTCCTTTTGTCCTATTCTCTCAAGTTTTTATGGCTCATGTAACCTTTCTCGACACTTACTGGGAACTCCTTATAAATGGGCCTGCTTTTTTGGCTTATCTTTATGAGACCCAGGGCTATCATCATTAGAGAAATGAAGGAAATGTAGCAATGCAGAGTGAAGCAAGAAAGGAAATAGAATGCTCCCTGGTCAGGCCCCTTCTCATTCTATGGAGGGAGCACTTTTGCCACATAAAAACCAGGCCCCAAACTATGTGGTGCCAGGGCTGCAGCTGTGGCCCAGCCACTACGAGTATTCTATCCAAAATTGTGTAGATCTTACGGAACCTATATCAATAACAATTTATAACTAATGCAGATGTAGTGCTCAATGTGTACATTACTAAGCACAAGTGCTTAACATATATTAAGTCATCCTCACAGAAACCTTTGACATAGATATTAATGTTACTTCCACTTTATAGATGAGAAAAATGAAGCCCAGAACACAACCAGTAAATGGAGAAGCTGGGATACGAACCTAAGAACTTTGGCTCTAGAGTTTGTGTTTTGAACCATTACCATCTTCCTTTCAGCCTGCATAGCAAGGAGAATGGGATTGTGTGGCTTGTCTTCTCTTTGTCAGACATCCCCATAGCGCTGACAGTGAGATCAACTTACCCAAACCATGTGGCTTTTCCCAGTGAAGGGGAGGAGAGTCTCAGTGTTGGGGAGGAATCACGATGGCTCCTGGGTACTTGTGAGAAACAGATGAGCTCATGGATCTGAAGACATGCATTAGGAACTATGAAACCATGCAAGTATCTTCTTTTTTTGCCACCCAGAGTCCTACCAGAATAGATTGTTAGGCTCTGCTGCTTATTCAAGAAAGCATTCCTTTCTATTACTTCTCCAGACCCATCCCTCTTAAGACTCCTGGGACTTGAAGGTTCTATTCTGACTTTTTTCCTTTGTTTACTATTTGTCCACTCAATTCCTTCCTGATAATCCATCATCCCATCTCTTGGATTCCAGCCTACCTTTGTATCTACTGCACTACCCCCAGCTCAGCTAGAGACCATTCAGGAGCTAGTACAGCACTAGGATAGGAAAGCTGGGATGGGCATGCAGAAACACAGCCTCTCAGGGTGCCTGTCTCTAGTTCAGAGTCCCAGCCATGCCCTCTTTCATTTTAGCCCTGCTTCTGTGCTTTGAAAGGTCCTTGACTCCATCAGTGACCTTGGGCTAGACTTCCCCTATGGGTCCAGGTTTCCTTACTTTCAAAAAGAGTGGTTGATAAGTTGATATTTGATGAAACTGGTGATAGGTGCCCAAGGACTCACAATACTGTTTTCTGTACTTTTTATAATAATTTCTACAATAAAAACATTTTTAAAAGCCAAATTGGATCAAATTAATAGATTGTAACCTTTTTTCTAACCAAAATCTTATAGAAAGCCTGATAGATAAGTGAAATAAAGGTAGGTCTCCTCTGGTTGAAGGGAACCCAGACCCCTATCCCTGTTTATCCCCCTCACATTCAGCCCTCCCCAAAGCACAGAGAATAAATACAGTGTAATGAAAACTGCTGTAACAGATTAATCAAAGGACTTTTTAGGCACGTTTGTTTTCCTCTAGCTACACTAGCTTTGCTTTGACCATTAGCCTATATATCCCATCCCAGAAATAGTGAGCCTGGATGATTAGTGATCTCTGTGGTCTTTGGAGAATTTGTTTGAATGGTTGTAGAAACATGGGCTGCTGATGGAGATGCATTTCAATGTCTGTCTCTGCTGAGTGTTTATTAATAATCTTGCTAATCTCCACTCTAGTTTCTGGATCTAGCTAATGCCTCTTGGATATCCTTGGGGGGCATTTTAAATTCTCCCTGATTTCTTGGAGCCAGACACTTCCTTCTGCTTGGAGTCCTCTCTGATACTTCTAGTCATGAATATTTTACATTTAATCTCCCTGATTATCTCTCCACATGATGGTCATGGTACACTGGCTGTATTTCTCAGGGAAGACATACAAAAAGCCACAATAAAACTTGAGTTTGTAGAGACAGTGCCAGAGATCTTTGTGCTTGCCATTTAGGTGACTTTCTACCCTGAACAGTGATGGAGGAGATGCTGAAAGGTGCGCTCCACCTAGGGCTTTCTATCCTGGCTTCTCGGCTAAAAAATGTTGGTAGTTTCACTTAGGATCAGGACCATGAGCTTGATCCCAGCCTGGGCACCTTATGACTTAGCGAGACCTTGTCTCAAAGTAAAAAAATTTTAAATGGCTGGCAGTTGTAGCTCAGTGGAAAGGCCCTGGGTTTAATTCCCAGTACCATAAAAAAAATAATATAAAATAAATACATCTATATCTACATATCTGCTCCAGGGAAAATGCAGTGAGATCCAACACTCTCATGTGATAGATGGGGTTAGAGAGGAAATGCAAGACTGGAAGGCCACAGATCTAGAAGTCACCAGGGTAAGAATGTAGATCAGCCAAGTATGGTGGCACATGCCTATAATCCCAGCTACTTGGGAAGCTAAGGCATGAGGATCATAAGTTTGAAGACAGTTTGGGCAACTTAGGGAGACTGTCTCAAAATTGGAAGAGAAAGTAGGGGCTGTGTGAGACCCTGAGTTCAATCCCTAGTGTTTGAAAAAAAAAAGATAAAAGAATTATAAGTAGGAGCCATCAGGGTTCCTCAAGGAGAGAGAAGAGGGCTGAGGAGAAAACAGGCCATGGGAAAACACAAATGACAGTCAAAGGAGCCAGAGATGAACCAAAGAAACAAGAGTCCTGAAAATCAGAGGAGGAAGCCATTTCCAAGTGGATATGGTATATGTGACATGTAACAACTACTACAGAAAAAGTGAGTTGTGACTTGGAAATGTAGCAGAGCTTCTCTGGCAGGATCCCGCCAGCACACTTAGGGATTTGATAAGCTGAGAGTTTGAGGCCAGCCTGAGCTCCATTGTGAGTTTAAGGCCAGCCTGAACTACGTAGAGAGACCCTGTCTCAAAAAAAAAAAAAAAAAAAAAAAAGCTCTCCTTTTGGCTGCTTTGGGGGTGAGCACTTGCTGTGGCCCAAGAGGAAAGTCACATCCCAACTCTCAGTACTCTACCTCCCCTTCAGGTAGCGTTTGAGAGGCATTTTGGTAGCAGAGAGGCACATAACAACCACCTGAGACCTGCTTCTCCATGGTGGTGGGGGACAAGTGCTGTCTATAAGAAGGCTGCCAAGCCTGGGAGGGGGAAGAATCAGGCAGGCTCGAAGCATGGGAAGCTGCCTGGGATATAGGCACTGAAGTACCCACCTCTGAGCAGAGCTTCCTGTCCCCTCCTCCTCAACTATGGCTAAATTGTAGGGATCAGAGGAGAGGAGGGAGGCCAAGAATTTATAAAACATTTGTAAAACCCAGGGTCTTATGGTGTAGGAGGGTAGAAGGAACACAGGCAAAGCTAAGATTTCCTGTCCAAACATCCTAGACTTTTCTCTTTTCCCTTTGTGATAAGTACAAGTTCATGCCCACTGCCAGATTTTATAGAGAATGGAGCTACCACAATAGTTATATATCCTTCCCTTGCTAGGTTACCAGCAGCCACACAGATCCTTGGGGGGGGGGGTCTGTGACACTGAGGGGCCAGCTCTGGAGCATTCTACCTGTCTATCTGCCTACTTTCTATCCCCAAAGGCAGAACAGGCATAAACCTTGGACCCCCTCTGCAATGCTCATTCCTTAGGCTTGCCATTCTGCAACCACTGGTTACAATTCAAAGATGCCTAGCATACAGAGCCCATTTTAAGGATTGATCATCAACTTCACAGGGAGAATATTGATGATTCCAGCCCCTTCCAACTGACTGAGGCAGGGTAGACCAGCACCCTAGGTCTTGTAGGAGAGGAGGGTATTTTACAGGGGTAGCAAGGCTACATAAGGACTCTGGACAACCCAAGACCCACCCAGCCCAGGGGTAGAAGCAGAGAGGAGGGTAGCAAGGAAAACTGAAAAAGTTGCACATTCTAGACAACACACAGAATGTATGTTCTCCCACCTTCCTTATCATCTGTAGCAGCAAGTGTTTTACACAGTGGATAGCACAAAACTAACTGGCCACCTGCTAATTTGTCATTACTTATCTTCTACCATACCCAGCCAACCTTTCAGGTTCTCCCAGGAGACAATCTTTAGGATTCATGTGGGATTGGAGAAGCCCTCATTAAAATGCTTTTTGTCCAGTGGCTGAAGCCTTAAAGTCTCCCTTGGTTTGGCCAGTTGGTTCTCTGGATCTTGTGGTGACAAGACCTGCCTGGCACTAGGAGAAACAGCGAGAGAAGGCCCATCTCAAGAAGCACCTACTCTAAACTTAATCCAGAACTTAGAAAGACCTTTCCTAACAAGTATATAGGAAGGGCCTAAGAAGCAGAGCAACTAGTATGAGCGATTGGAGAGGAGGTTCTATATGTTTAAGGAAATTGTGATGGGATTTCTGGAGGAGCCTGGATCATAAAGGACTTTGAAGACAGACATTCAATTGTGTGTAAGTGGGGTCAAGATCTTCCACTCTTCTGCCCACATTAGCATCTTTGTCCTATGGTGGATGGCTCTGCCCTCCTTCCCTAAATGTCCAGCCTGCTGCCAGGGGCAAATGCTCCCTCAAGCCCAGTGGGCAGGTAGGGAGGCTTGCTTCAGGGCTGAGAGCAGCCCCATGCTCACTTGCTAATAACTCTTGGTCTCTCTGGTTTCTCCTCTCAGGACCCAGCCGCCGCCTCCATCTCAAACGGAGACTGTGACGCCCGGGAGGGTGAGTCAGTAGCCATGAATTACAAACCATCCCCGCTCCAGGTGAAGCTGGGTGAGTGTGTCCGGGGAGTGAGGGAGATGTGGGGAGTGGACAAGGTGCTCTGGGCTGGGTCTGAGGTGAGATGGCACAAATAAAGCAACTCAGGATAGATGATTCCAAGACTCAAGCCACCAAGACATTGGCACTGCCAGACCCCATATCTCCTAGAAAGCAAAGACTGTAGCTACAGTTCTCTATAGAAATCCTGAAATTCTAGGGGGCATCTCTGAGGCCAAGAAAGCTATAGGTATGCCAAGGGATACTTGCAGGGGTAAAAGCATGGAACCCCAGGCAGAGGACTTGGAAGTCCCATCAAATGCTCAATCAGGCTGAAAAGAAGCTTCCTTATAGGTGGGGTGTCAGTTACTATGTCTGAGGGATAGAAAGAAATGTGGGTTCCAAAGCCTAGAGGCTGAGCCCCTTTCCATTCCAGTCTCCTCCACCTGGAAGTCTCAGGGCCTGGTGGGCTTCTGTTTGGGAAGGCTGTCCCCTATTTTCTTCTTAATCTCAAATATCCCTTGCCTTTCCAGACATCTCATCACCTTTCCCTTGGGGGATTATTTCATATCCACTCCAATGTCAATTAACTGTGCAGCTGGCTCCTTTGAAGTCACCTGACTCCCAACCATCACCCACAACTCCTGCATCTGAACACTGCCCCTTTCCCTTTAGAGACCAAAGTTTTACTGACCCTAGGCTGCTGTACATTCAGAATTTTACCAAAGATATGATTTCATGAAGAGAAATTACAACACAAAGCACACAAGGAAAGAGTTTATAATCAATGCCAGTCATCTTTGTCCTTCAAACCTCCTCTGCCATCACAGCCCCCCTCCAGCTGTCTTTCTCCTCAGGGTCCAGCTGTCTAACAAATAACTGGGCCTTCCTCAGCCCTAAGAACTCCTTCCCATCTCTTCAAAAACCTTTTCCTGGGCCAGGGATTTAGCTCAGTGGTCCTGCCACCTGCCTCGCAGGTGCAAGGACCTGAGTTTGATCCCTGGTACCAAAAAAAACAAAAAAACAAAAACCTTCTCCCTCCACAGCTGCCAGTACTCCTTCCCACAGAGTTCTTGACTTTCTTTTATTTTATCTTAAATTTTTATTTATTTTTATTTTTGTGTTATTGGGGATCAAATGCACGGCTTCATGCACACTAGGGCTCTACCACTGAGCCGCATCTCCAGCCCCAGAGTCCTATTCTTTTAGTCAACTCCCCCTACCCCCAACCCCTTTGCTTTTCTCCTTTGAGGCCATATTCAGGGAGCCCTTTCCGCATATTTTCTGAACAGGAGAGACATTCTCACAGTGGAACTGTCCATCCTCCTAGGAGATCAAATTCAAATTGCAACCAGCTTTGTTTGTTAATTATTGTTTAACAGCACAAGTATTTTAATGAATATAAATTTTCTTTTCTCCCCTATCACATTCTCTTCCCCAGAGGTATCATTCCACACTTTTGCAGTTTGTGTAGTTTTATTTTATATTTTAACATAAGTAGTATATTGTACACATTTTCTGAAACTTGTTCTCTTCCCTTTCACATTTTGTCCTTTCCAATCTCAGTATATAGAGAATGACTTCATTCTTTTAAATGGTTATATAGTAGTTCATAGTTTGGTTTTTGCCAGTTTATTGTTTGCACTTTTTTTACGATTTCAAACACGGTTAACATGCTTTGAAAACAATTTTTTTCCCTCTCCTCGTTATATTATCACCAAACCTCCCCAAAATCTCTTAACTCCCAGTTGGACTAAGGAAAATCACCATTAAGAACTTTAAGGCAAATTGCACCCCCTAGAGGTTTGGAGTGGTAATGGCAGCTACCGCTTGCTGGAAAGAGACTGGCAAAGCTGGCGTGAGATCAGTATTGACCAAGAAAGTCAGAGCTTTGCATGGTCGTGGTACACCTGTAATCCCAGCGCTCTAAGAGGCTGATTGCAACTCTAAGTCCAGCCTGGGAAATTTAACAACTTAGCGAGGCCTTGTGTCAAAACAAAAACAGTAAAAAAAAAAAAAAATGCTGGGGATGTAGTTCAGTGCAAAGGCCCTGGGTTCAATCCCCAATACTGGAAGAGCTTTGCATGGTCGTGGTACACCTGTAATCCCAGCGCTCTAAGAGGCTGATTGCAACTCTAAGTCCAGCCTGGGAAATTTAACAACTTAGCGAGGCCTTGTGTCAAAACAAAAACAGTAAAAAAAAAAAAAATGCTGGGGATGTAGTTCAGTGCAAAGGCCCTGGGTTCAATCCCCAATACTGGAAGAAGAAAAAAAAACGCAAAAAGAGAGTCAGAAAAGAGATGAGAGATTCAGAGGCCTGGAGGTTATGGGACATTTAAAAGTGAATCACTTCCAATCCTTATACTCAGGAGTGCATGGGTATTTTTTGAAACAACTTCTAGCAGCCCTTTCACACAAAAGACCCTTTTCCTAGATCTGAACTTTACTTTGATATGAGTAGGAAAGAGTGGCTGGGCCTTCTCTAGAACCCAGGCAATTACTAGAGGGAATAGTTATATACCAAGCCATGGGTCATCTGATTGCCTGCCCCATGAGCCTGGTAGGCTCTGGACCCTTGGAGAACTCAGAGACTGTCAGGAACCAAGAACATCACTTAGGCAGTACAGCCAAATGGACTCCCCAGCCTCCTTCCATCTGCTCTTCCAGCTCCTTTCTGCCCCTTCTCCACAACCTTCAGTGATTCCTTTTTCCTTCTGTATTAGTCCCTAACTCTTAAGTCTGACATTCAAGGCCTTCTTGACACATGATTTGGGGCTCCAATGTTTGTGGAGTGAATAGGGATTAAATGGCTCCTTTAACAGCCTCACTTCTGTCCTTCTTCACCCCTCCATCCCACCTAAATCCACATTTATGCTCATTTCTAATACTTTGGTTGTTTTGTTTTGTTTGGTTTTGGTTTTGATTTGGTTTTCATAGTGTTTGGTATCAAACCTAGGGCTTTGTGGATGCTAGGCAAGCCACTGAGCCATAGCTCCAGCTGTGAATGTGTTCTGGCACACACTGTGTCTCCTTCCTAGATTGCACTCCTCTCTCCAGTGCAACGACGGGAAGCCTGCCCCATCCTTCTGAGATCAGCTCTTCAACAACCTTTCCTTGGAATCAAGCAAACACAGACTGCCCCACAGGGGAGCTGTGGCTTCTGCAAGGCAGGGGTCACACCTCCCACACTATCTGCTTCAAATTGTATAGGGCCAAGTAGCAGCACAACTGAGCAGTCTGTAGAGGAGCAAGGGGTTTCATAATGGAGGCTGCCCCTAGCAGTAAGGCAGTGTGGTCTTGGGGGCAGGACACAGCTTCCTTCCCATGTTCCCTGCAGAGAAGCAGCGGGAGCTGGCCCGGAAGGGCTCCCTGAAGAATGGCAGCATGGGCAGCCCTGTCAACCAACAACCCAAGAAGAACAATGTCATGGCCCGGACAAGGTAGAGGCCCTCTCTAGCCCATCTGGACTCTGCCAGATAGCACCTATCTCTGCTGGTCCTGAACCTCCCCTCTTCCCTCCCTCCATAGGTGGGATCTAAGTGGAGAGGGAGGGAGGAAAGGAGGAAAACAGGGAGATCGTGGGGTTGGGTCCAGCCCAGTCCCTTGCCAGGTTTGTGTACTCCAGTTCCCATCTCAACTCCAAAAATTCTTTACCCAGGCTGGTTGTCCCCAATAAAGGCTATTCCTCACTTGACCAGAGCCCAGATGAGAAGCCACTGGTAGCCCTTGACACGGACAGGTGTGTATGGGGCCCGGGGGCAGCTGGGAAAGCCATTGGAAACTTTGTGAGCACAGTGGGCTGTACAGGCCATGCTTGCTATATTGTCAGAATTGGGGTATTCCTTAGGCAGGGGCTATCCAAGGGTGAATTCCCCAGGGAATGGAATTTTACCGAAAGGAGGAGAGTGGGCAGAGAGAGACAGGGACCAGCACAGTCTCCTGCCATCCTGGGACAACTGGTCCAGTGACTGCCCCTAGTGGGCCCTGATGTCTCTGAAAAGCAGGGTAATGCCCCCTCCACACATGCACACAAAGAGTCCTACTCCTGGGGAAATACCTGGCTAGCCCTATACTGTGGGAAAACCCTACAAATCAGTGTGATTTGAGCCTAGAAAACAAGGAGGAAAGAAGGAATTGAAGGGAGTAACAGCTCTTTTTTTAAAAAAAATCAAAGGTGGCAATTCATTTGGGAAGGTGGGGCTAGGGGAATCTGTCTTCGATTATTTGCATCTGCACAGTAAGCATAGATTTTATTTAAGGGGTGCTGTTTGTTTAGAGCCTTTGGGTGGAGCATGGTACTGACTGAGCAGGGAGGCCCAGGAGCATACAAGGAGGTTTCTGTTTAATTTTCCTGAATCACTTGCTCTCTGTCCTCTTTTCCCCATGGCCAGCGATGATGACTTCGACATGTCCAGATACTCCTCTTCTGGCTACTCCTCTGCTGAGGTGAGGCCCCACCCCTTGCCACCATAGTCCACCTAAGTAGGACCAGCTCTACCAAGAAGCAGGGGTAGGGCCAATGCCAAACCATTTCCCAAGAGAGCAAGGAATGGGAACTGCTTCTCGGAGCCCTTGAGGGCAGAGTTCATGTGGGATGGGGACTGGGGTGACCTGGAAGTAATTACTGAGCTCAATTGTGGGGACCCCAGGATTAGGGCCCAGAATTATTGGAACAGGATTCTTAAATGGTTGTGAAATGCAGGTGGTAGTTATAGGAATGGACCCAAATAGTAGCTGGACCAAAGGTGAGAAATTGACCTTGGAATGGGGTTGGGTCTATAGTGGGACAGGGCTCAGGAAGATGGGCTGTAAAGGAAGAGGCCAAAGCGAGGGCAGGGTGGGAGAAGGACAGGGTGAGGCCTGGTGTTGTGGAAAGACCTGGGGTGCATGGGGAGGCAGGCAAGGGGTTGCCTGTGACAGGAACAATGGCCTTGGGTCCTGGTGGCTCCAGGGAGTGGTGCCTTTCGGAGGAAGATCCGAGCCTGACCTCCCTCTCCTTTGTTTACAGCAGATCAACCAAGATTTGAACATCCAGCTGCTGAAAGATGGCTACCGGTTAGATGAGATCCCCGACGACGAGGACCTAGACCTCATCCCTCCCAAGTCCGTGAACCCCACCTGCATGTGCTGCCAGGCCACGTCCTCCACCGCCTGCCACATTCAGTAGCGGGCACCGGGGCCACTGCGGCTTCATGGGGGAGGTGCGACTCCACTTGGGCCAGGTTGGATGGGGCAGGGGCTGACCCTTCCCTCGCTCTTCACCTGCCCCCGGGCCGTCCCCCCTATAGCTGCCAACCCTGTAACAGTCATTGCTTCCTCCTATGGTAGGACGTGTACCTCTGTGTGTTCATGGAGCCGGAGAAACCAAAACCGGGTCTCTCTCCACCCGGGGGGCTGAGGAGGGGTAGGGCTCTTTGTTCAGTTACATGAGGGACCTCACTCAGCAACCTGTCCTCTTCCCCAAGGCTACAGTCTCGGGGCTGCGGGACTGGACGTCAGGGAGGTCAACACTAATATGCAGGGAGGAGGGAATCACACAGTCAGCCAAGCCATGAATCCCCCAGCCCCAGCCTGACAAGGAAAGGGGTTTGGAGGGACAAAGGCCCAAGGCAGTGGGAGCAGGTCCTAGTATCCATGTGCCCCCTGCTAGCCCATGTACCTCCTTGTACTTTCCCCCTCATCTCCAGATGGGAAGCCTGTCAAAGAGGCTGCATGGGATATTGTCCCTAGCCCGTCAGATTACTGCCTTCCTCCTCTTTGTCCCATTCATCCCCTTCCTTGCTCTCTGGCATGGGAGAAGGTAAAGAGGCCCACCGGGGAGTGGTAAGACCTGTCCTCACTGGCCCCTAACCAACGCATCTATCTATCTCTCAGCCGCCCCTGTCCCCCACCCCCAATACTTTTGTCCATTGGTCCCAGGCTGGAAGTAGGGGGTAAGCTAGCCTTTAATGCCCCATTCCCATCTGACCCCAGCCCAAAGTCTGGGGGGGCTGGTTCCTATTAAAATTCTTCAAAGAGCAAGCTTAGGAAAATACAGTGGGCTGAGCGGTTGTGCATATATGGCAGTGAGTACTTGGCAGTGTGTGTGTGTGTGTGTGTGTGTGTGTGTGTCTGTGTCTGTGTCTGTGTCTGTGTCTCTTTTTTGCTGGACCTATCTCTCCAGGTTTCTCTTCCTGTCATAGATGTGTCAGATGTGACCGTGTAATCTGTTTACAATTGGGAGAGGCTGCTCAGCAGTGTAGTGGACTGAGAGTCTGGCCTGGGAGCCCAAAGCCTGTATTCTGGTCCTAATTCTGATGCTCCATAAGCTCTTCCATAAGCTACGTGCTGTCTCTGGGCTTCAGTTTTCTCAATTGAAAAATTAACAGCAGCTGAAATTATTGTTAAGGTTCTTTCATACCCAAAGGAATTTCTTCACAGGAATTTCTGCAGAGGAGTATGAGATCTCTGTGTGTCTTTGAGTGTATCTAGGGGGCTCTCTGGGGTGTGTGTTTGTGTGGAAAGGGGAAGGGGAAGTGCATGTGGATCTGTGTGGAAGAGGTTTGTGTGTCCATGTGAATTTGTGCAGAGGTGTCTACTTTGTGTGTGCAGCTGTGTGAAGTATCTGTGGGTCAGAATATTTGTTCTGTTGCTTCTGCTACTATTGCTGGTCTAGGGTCAGAGGCCAAAACAGCTGAGGATAAAGATCAAGAGGGAAGAGGTTAATAGGGCCCTCCTCTAGGCTGGACAGTTTAGAACCTGCCTCCATGTGAAGAGAAATGAAAGCACATGTAGCCTCAGATTGCTTGGACCTATGCCCACAAGTCTCCTCCCACAGAGCAAAGATGTACACTTTCCCAGTCCCCCATGCTGATAACCAACACACGCTGGTGTATCCACTGTCATGGATACCACCCACATGCTACTTTCTGGACACTAGTCCTGGGAAGTAGGAGCTGGAAGGGGGTTAGGAAGAGGGGGCAGAGGGGTAGCACCATTCCCTGATCCCCATCCAGGAGCTGCCAACTCCAAAGTGTCGGAGTGCAACTCTCTATTCCCCACACTTCCAACGCACCTTTATATCTTCTAATGCAAGGACTCTACTTAGATGATGAAAAAATGCCAAAGGGAGGCAAGGACAATAAAGGTAAATTCAGGTCCCACGAGAACCATAGTGACCCCCACCTGAGCCCCTCTCCCATCCTGGTCAGCATCCCACCACCACTGTCATCTGGACCCCAGAGCCAGGCCTCCTACTATACCATTACCCCCTGGGCTCTTTGATTCCCCTTCTAGAACTCGGGTACCTCTTCTTTTTTAGACTTCCGTGTTTTCTCTTGACTTACTGTGTGACTTTGGCCCATTGATCAATCTCTGTGGCCCTGAGGAAGCAGGAAAAAGTTCCCTTTCCACAGGACGTACTAGTTTCCTGGCAGGCAAGGGCTTCAACTAAGGCAGTACATGTATGGCGGGGAGAGACAGGAAGCTGGGAGCCAGCAGCTTCTTCATCTAGAGAGTTCATGGTTCCCTCCTTTGCATTCTAGGAGGCTGAAGGGGAAAAACCAAGGCCTTGGCTTGCTCCTGCCCCTGTCCCTTGTAGATACTGCCTTAACACTCCCCTTAACCCCCAGCTGTGGCTGCTACCCAGCCAGGTTTCTCCGTGCTCACTAATTTATTTTCAGGAAGGTGTGTGGAAGACATGAGCCGTGTATAATATTTTTTTTAACATTTCCATTGCAGTATTGACCATCATCTTTGGTTGTGTATCGTGTAACACAAATAATGATATTAAAAGGATCAAACAAGCCAGCCTCAGCTCCCTACCTGGGGGGTGGGCCAAGAGCAAGTGGACTGGGAAGCAGAGAGAACTGATCTGGATGCACAATGATACCTTACCTCCACTTGTGGGTTCACAGGGGTGCCACAGAACTGCTGTGTGACTCTAGGTGAGTCACAACCCCTAAGAACTTCTGTTCCTCTCCAAAGAAGTGAGAAGCCCAGCCTGGAAGGCTTTCAGAAACCCTCTGAACTCTTGGAAATTGGACTCTTTTGAAGGTCTAAGGCAGGAAGGGGCTGGGAGCAGAGGGAAAATTAGACCTCCTCACCTCCCCTGGGGATAGGGCTGAGCCAAGTGATATCATAATGGGCAGTGCCCATCCTGGAGGAGGAAGCAGGGGAGGGTGAGAGCAGGAAGGCTGTAGGGGAGGGAAGCTGAGAGATCCTCCACAGGAGGGGGTCACAGCAGCTAGGGGCATCTGCCAGGCTGGAGGTGTGGGCTGTCTAAGAAAGGGGGGTGTCACTGATGTCCAGCAGGAGTCTTTGATAGGTAGAGCCCACCACGGCACCCTGGGGATTCTACCATGTTCCTCTTCTCTAATAAGACCAAGACCCCCATCAGCACCTACACTGACTCCTACAGGGCTCCTACCTCCATCAAGGAGGTCTATAAGGACCCGCCTCTATGGGCCTGGGAAGCCAACAAGTTTGTGACCCCGGTAAGTGGAGACTGGGGAAAGGGCAGACCAGAGTGTATGGCTGTGTGTGTCTAAACGACTGGCAATGTGTGGTTGTCACTGTATTTGTAATTATCTGTAGCTTTTGTATGTATTTATTAATTTGCCTGGGCACCAAATTTACAATGGTTTGTAAAATAGTGTAAAATCCTTCCCTTGTGGAACTCCACCAGATTAGGTGGTAGGACAAGACAGATAAGAAACAAGAGTTTTATAAATTGTCCAAAATGCTGTAAAGGAAATAAACAAGGCAATGAAAATGAAGAGAAAAAGGTTAATTAGGTCGTGGAAGACCTCTTTTGAAGTGACAGTGAAAGAGACTGAGACTGGAAAGATGGAGAGAACTAGCCATATAAAGAGCTGAAAGATTAGAAGAGCTGAAAGTTTCAAACAGTGATCAGAAAGTCCAAAGGTCCTGAGGCTCCCTGTTGAATAGGTCAGAAAATATGCTGCAGGTTTGTCTTTATGTCTATGTATACTGTATATCACAATCTTGTGTCTGTCTGTGCTTGAAGATGAATAGCCAAGTGTGTCAGTGCAACTTTCACCAAAGGGAGAGGAGCTCTAGGAGTCTAATTGTGACTCTGCCTAAAAGAAGTCACTAGTGTAAACCATCCAACAAAACACTACTGAACATCTTCATGTGTAGGCACCCGGTATACAAAAAGGAAAGGTGAGCCCCTGCTCACAGCAAACAGGTAAATAAAGTCAGGTTCCCAAATGTGGGCCCTCTACCACCACAGCATGTGCTGATGGGCAGGCAGGAAGTGGAGAACACTCTCAGAACCTGCAGTGATAGAGGTAGGGAGGATTCCTGTAGAAAAGTCCTGAGAAAAAGCAGCCCGGGAGCCCTACCAGAAACAGAGAGAGAGAGAGAGAGAGAGAGAGAGAGAGAGAGAGAGAGAGAGAGAGAGAGAGTGGTGCCAGGGATCAAACATGCGCATGTACCATTGAGCTACAACCCCAGCCTTTAATATTCTTTTTTTTTTTGGTACCGGGGATCGAACTCCGGTCTTTGCACTTGCGCAGCAGGCGAGGGAAACCACTGAGCTAAATCCCCAGTCCCTTAATATATTCTTATATGGCCTATTAATAGGAAGCAAAAATGTTTTCACAAAAATGACATCATATTGTACTAGTATTTTGAGTCTTGCAATTTTTCCGTAACCATACATCAGGTACATTTTCTTGTGTCAAAAATATTCTCCAGCTGGGTATGGCAGGAAAATCATAAGTTTCATTCCAGCCCTGACTTGGCAAGACCCCATCTTAAAAATTTAAAAATTTTTTTCTTGTTTTTTGAGACAAGGTCTTGCTAACTAGTCCAGGCTGGCCTTGAACTCACTATGAAGCCCAGGACGGCCTTGGACTCATGGCAATCCTCCTGCCTCTGCCTCCTGAGTGCTGCAATTACAGGTGTGTGCCATCATGCCTGGCTTAAAATAAAAAAATTTTTAAAGAGCTAGGAATGTAGTTTAGTGCAAAGGTCCTGGTCCCACATAAAAAGTCCCAATACCACATAAAAAATCAAATGAAATTTTCTAACTACATACTATTCCATTTTATGAATGTACCATAATGTATTTATGTATTATCCAAAATTTAAATTATTTATACAATTTTGCTATAATAATTCTTGTAGTTATATCTTTGTATACAACTTTATTTCCTTAGATAAGTATTTAGACATGAAATCGTTAAAGGATATAAACATTTTTCAAACTTTCAGTATATTCCTTAAATTGCTGTATTAAGAGATGAAATAATTTACACTCCTAGAGGCAAAATACAAGAGTGCCTTCCCACGTTTCCAGGCTCAATAGGAGGAAATTTTAAGAAGTAGACCGAAGCCAGGTGTGGTGGCACACACCTGTAATCCCAGCACTTGGGAGGCTGAGTCCCATGACTTGAAGGTCAGCCTGGACTACATAGTGAGACCCTGTCTCCAAAAACAACAACAACAAAAAGTACATCAGCAAATTTTAGTAACCATTTGGATATAAAGAGGGAGAGGATTAGGATGACTCCTGTGTTTTTGGCCCTGGCAACTGCAATTATGGTACAGCTACCAACTGAGATTTGAAATAACGGATTAAGGACTTGGAGTTCATTTTGAGACAAAAATACTTGAGGACATCCAGGAAAAGATACCTGGTGGACAACTGGATATACTGTATGGTACTTATATGAAGCAAAGGAAAGAGGTTTGGTACTTATATGAAGCAAAGGAAAGAGGTTTGGAAGGAGGTTTGATCACAGATACAGATTTTGAAATTACTATCACCTAAGTGGTAGCTGAAATCATAAGAGCAGATGAGCTTGCCAAAGAAGTATGAGAAAATGTCCAAGGACAGAATTTTGAGGATTATCAACCCTCAAGGAGTAGGTAAAAAAAGAACCATGGAAGGAGACACAGAGCTATGGCCAGAAAGCTAGGAAGAAAAATCAGAGAGAAACCAGTTATCAGGTGATGGACAGTGTCAAATGTGAAGAACACAGAAAAGGACCTCTTGGATGTCGTGACTCTTCATAACTAGTCCAGACAATGCACTGAGGGGAATAGGAGTCACATAGCAGTGGGAGTAAAAATGAAGGAAAGCCTCCTCCTGCTGGCAGTGTGGTGGACAGTCTGAAGAGCCCTGCTGCTTCAAAAACTAAGTTTTGCGTAAATATTAATTTCTATTTTGGGGGGGACTCTCATGGAGGTGAATGGTAAGTATACTTAGGACAAGATTTCCCTGAGAACAAATGAAGCATACACACACACACACAAACACACACACACACACACACACACACACACACATTCCACCCTCACACCCAGAGTAATGTGTTCTGTCATGGAAGGCAACCTCAATGTAGCTTCCAGGCATCTTTCAAAGTAAGGCTATTCGAACATGAGCTCACAATAAGAGACATAAGAAAACAATTAGAGCTGGTAGTGTAATTCAGTAGTAAATAACTTGCCTAACATACACTAAGCCCTGGATTAGATTCCCAAACACACACACACACACACACACACACACACACACGTGTGCATACAGAAGTGCAAAAAAAGAAAAGAAAGAAAACCACTAGGTTACCAAATCAACAGAAACATCAAACAGCAGACTTAAATCAGCAAGGACTTCAAATGCTGAAAACACAGAACACAAAATAATTATGAATTTTTAAAATGTAAAATTATCAAAATAAGCAAACATCATCAAGACAGTATTCATTTTTTTATGGTATCAGGTATCAAACTCGGGACCTTGTGCTTGTGAGGCGGGCGGTGGAACCACTGAGCTAAATCCCCAGCCCAAGTCAGTATTCTTTAAAAGGAGCAGATAAATGTAAAAAGGAACTGAGTAGAAATTTTAAAAATAAAAGTATTGTAAAAACCCAAATCAGGGCAGGGGATTTAGATCAGTGGTTCTGGCGCCTGCCTTGAAAGCTAAAGGTCCTGAGTTCGATCCCTGGTACCAAAAAAACCCCAAATAATCCCAGCACTCAGAGGCTGAGGCAGGAGGATCACCATGAGTTAGTTCAAGGCCAGCCTGGTATACATAATGGGTTCAAGGCTAGCCTGAATTACATAATGAGACCCTGTTTCAAACAAACAAATAAGCAAGCAAACAAACAAACAAAAACCCAAATCTCGGGCCGGGGATTTAGCTCAGTGGTTTCACTGCCTGCTGCGTAAGCACAAGGACCCAAGTTTGATCCCTGGTATCCACAAAAAAAAAAACCAAAAAACCAAATCTCAATGGGTGGTCAAGGCTATGGGGAAAAGAAACCCTTTCCACATGCTGGTTGGAATGTAAAATAGTACAACCGCTATGAAAGTCAGCATGGAGATTCCTCAAATAACTACAACTATGGCCAGGCACGGTAGCACACACCTGTAATCCCAGCACTCAAGAGGCCAAGGCAGGAGGATCACCATGAGTTTGAGACCAGCCTAGGCTCCATAGTGAGTTCAAGGTCAGCCTGGACTACATAGTAAAACCCTGTCTCAAAAGACAAACAAAACAAAACAAAACACCAAACAAATGAAAAACAACAGAAAACTAAAACTAGAAATTCCATTTGACCCAGATACTCCCCTTCTAGGTATCTTTCTGAAAGAGTTAAAGACATCACATTACAGTAATCCATGCACATTTACAGCAGCACAATTCACAATAGCTTAATCTTGGAAGCAGCCTATATCTCCATCAACAGATGAATGCATAAATGGTATTTATAAACAGTAGAATGCTACTGTACTCTATCATAAAGAAGGATAACCCTGAGTCATCTGTAGGAAAATGGATGCACTTTGAGACCACAATGTTAAGTGAAATAAATCAGACACACAAGTTTAAATATAAAGAACAAAATAAAAGATAAATAATAGGAAGTAGGGAGATAGATCTTCAAATATGAAAGGGATCAAGAGATGGAGGGAAGGGAATTTCCACTGTGAGTGTTGATATTGTGTCCAGCAATAGAAGAAACTAACAACTTCTTTAAAATATACTTTGAGGAGAAAGAAAATGATCACAGAAGGAAAATCTGAAATGCAAGAAGAAAGATTGAGAAAATGATAAACAAAGTTGATTTAAGCAAATATTATCTTTAGAAAATAACTGTAGTGGTCTACAATTTGTAATATTTAAAGAAAGAACTAAAATACTAGAAAACAGTACCATACAAGTTGGAACAGGACAGAGTTAAGGTGTTCCAAGATCCTTACATTGTTGTGAAAGGGTATACAAGGTGTAGTTTTGCACTGTCGACTAGTTGAAACTACACTTTCCAGAATTCCCTTCCATAAGTTCTTTGCAATTGTCCACAAGAAAAATTTGTATGAGTTCTGGAAGGCACAAATGCAAGAACAGCCATTCTTACCCTCCTAAGGTTGATACAGGACACCAGGCTCTGTGGAAGTTTGTGCAAGGTTGCAGATTTAACTCACCTTGCTGGCAGAGGGCAACCTGTGGCCACAGATCTGTCAGTTCTGTCAGCATCTCCTCCTCCAACTTCTTTGGGTCAGGGCCAGGTGTGTACACAGCTCTGTTGCAAAGGGCACAGGCATCTCCTAAAGGCTATCTTTGTCATCAGGATTGTAGAAGTAAACTTTTCTAACTTGATAAAGGATATGTATGGAGAGTCTACCACCATTATTCCAACCATTAGTCAGGCTGGCCTGGACTATACAGGGAGAATTTTTTAGAAATTGGTGTCAAAGCAAGGATATTTACTACCACAACTTCTTTTTAGCATTAGAGGGGAGACCTACCCAAGACATCAAGAAAAGAAAAATAAAAAGATACAAAGTTAGGAAAGAAAGAAAACTGTCATTACTTTCAGATGATACAATTTTGTACATAGAATATACAAATTCTTAAAATAAGAGAATTTAGAAAGTTGGATGAGTATAGGATCAAAAGGCAATCACATTTTCTTATACAAATGGCAAATATTTAGGGCGTATAATGTTTAAAATACACTTGATTCTAACAACAAAAAATAAAAGTAAAAAATCTATGTGTGCAAAACTATGGATAATATTATAAAACTTTATTAAATATCTTTTAAAGTACATAAAAATAAATGACAAAATATAACATGCTCATGATTTACTATCCTAAAGATTTGATGCAGTCAATTAAAAGCTTAACAGGATTTTTTGAGGAATTTAGCAAGCTATTTCCAAACTTTTTAAAGAAGAACAAAAGCCAGACATGGTGGCACATGCCTGTAATCCCAGCACTCGGGAGGCTGAGGCAGGAGGATCACCATCAGTTTGAGGCCAGCCTGGGTTACATAGTGAGTTCAAGGCCAGCCTGAACTATATAGCAAGACGGGAGGGGGGGGGGAGGTGGAGGAGGAGCAGCAGCAGCAGCAGCAGCAAGGGCCCAAGAAATAGCCAAAATACACTTGAAGAAGGATTTTTTTTTTTAAGACAGGATCTTGCTATGTAGTACAGATTGGTCTTGAAATTACTATGTACCCTAGGCTGGCCTCGAACTTATGGTGCTCCTCCTGCTTCAGCCTCCCAAGTGCTAGGACTACAGGTGTGAGCCACCAGACCCAGCAGAAAGGGATTTTTGCCCAATGAGATATTAAGAGTTATTGCAAACCTATAGAAATTCATAAAGCATGTATTAATAGAGATAAATTAACTAATAAAATAAAAAAGTGAAAATAAACCTACATATATAGGAAAACAATGCAATAAAGATGGTTGAAATAAAGCTACTGAAAAAGATATATCAGGCTGGGGATAGCATTACAAATCTATGGCTATTCAATAGAAAACTGGTTATCCATATATTGATAAAATAAATTGAATCCCTAACTCACACCAAACCCAAAGAATCAAGTCCTGACAGGTTAAATATGAAAAGTAAAACTGTATAGCTTTTAAAAGAAAATAGAAAACATTATCTCCATTATCTGAGAATGTGGATGGATTTCTTCAGTCACAAAAAGCACTACCATAAAAGAAGAGATTAATAAATTCAACTATGCTTAAATTAAGAACTTCTGTTCATCAAAGACACCATAAAGAAAATTAAAGATAGAAGCCACAAGCTCAGAGATTTGCAACATGTAACTGATTAGTATATAGAATGCATAAAGAACTAGAATTCTCTGGGCTAAAATTGAACACATATGTGTTTTGATCCCCTCCTGAAACCCCTCTAAAACTACAGTAAGTGGATACTTAAGACATAAACTCACAAGGAGGGTGAGAAAGAAAGGATGATGGAAAGAAAATTTGGGGAGCTGGAAAGTATAATAGATAAGTAGCAACTGATTTAGCAGATCTGGGAAAGCAGAATTCAAAGCCAGAAATAGGAAACTCAAGACATAATTCAATTTTAAAACACTAGAATTTCCCAATGGCTCAGGAACTGGTAATCCTAGGCTTCTCTGGAACTGAAGATGTGGCAGGACCAAGGCTACAGTAAGGATTATTTGAAAGCCATTTAAGAAACAGTTAAACCCACTAATCCCCTCTTCTATTCCATGCCAGAGGTGACTGCCTGCCTCTGTCTGCAAAATTCACAAGGCTCATTTTCTGGCAAGGATCTCAGGACTGAGGATACAAGTAGAGGGCAGGTCACCACACTGGAAACAGGTGAACCTCCACAAACTCCCAACAGCTCTCCTCACACAGGTTCTTGAGATACGAGCAGCTAGGACTTTACCTTCAAGCCAAAGACAGAAGAGTCTTTTATAAAGAACCCGATCAGCTCAAGAGGAAAGATATATGGATACTGACCTTAGAGTTTGTAAAAAGTTGTCTAACCAGATCATCGCACAGTGATGTTCATAGCTGATAAAACCCACTCATAGTTCAAAGCCTTTAAGAAGCTTTTTTTAAGGGCCAGGGATTTAGCTCAGTGGTTTTGCCGCCTGCTGCGCAAGCGTGAGGACCTGAGTTCTATCCCTGGTACCAAAAAAAACCCAAAAAACTTTTAGCTAGGTGTGGTGGTGCACACTTGTAATCCCAGCATCTTGGAGGCTGAGGCAGGAGGATCACAAATTGGAACCTAGCCTGGGCAATTTAGTGAATTAGTGAGACCCAGTCTCAAAAATTTTTTAAAAACAGCTGGGGATGTATCTCAATGTGAAAGCCCTGGATTCAATCCCCAGTACAAAAACAAACATCTGGGTATGGTGGTGCACACCTCTAATCCCAGCACTTGGGAGGCCGAGGCAGAAGAATTGCCACCAGTTCAAGGCCAGTCTGAATTGCACAGTGAGACTCATTCAAAAGAAAGAAAGATAGAAAGAAAAAGAAAGAAAGAAAGAAAGAAAGAAGAAAGAGAGAAAGAAAGAAAGAAAGAGTATCCTACTCATGAACGTGAGCAAACTGTAGACATCTGAGGAAAGCCTCTAACAGAAAAATTGATGTTATCCTAAATGACCACTTCTCTAATTATGAGTATGCATGTGTATTTCTGAGTGCTTAGTGTATAGGTAGGGATTCTTGAATGTGTATGTATATGCATCTATTTATGTGTATAACTGGGTTCATAGGTGTGTGCATGTGTGTGTGTGTGCGTGTGTGTGTGTGCGTGTGTGTGTGTGTGCGCTTGTGTGTAAAGCTCAGGGAAGTGCCAAGTCATAGGACTTGCACCCACATAAGCCGTATTCTGTCCCCCACCCACATGGGAATGTGGGTTGTACCAGATCTGTCCAAAGAACAATATCAGCTGGGTGCAGAAGCCCCTGAACGAAGAGGTTTTCCAGGTTCCCAGAGTGTTCAACCCTGCCCACAAGAAGCCTCTGCCTTTAAGATCATAAGGGGCAAGTGTGGGTGATCCCAGCTGCCTTTTCAGACCAGCCGTCTGTGGGTACCTGTGGGCCTACAACTTACTTGGCATTCAGGCTTCAGCTGAGGATAAGGGAGCCCCAAAGGGAAGCCTGGGTCTTGGTAATGGGCTGGGTTGAAGCAAAGGCTCAGAGGGCACGGACCAAGAACAGGAAAAAAGTCAAGGTCAAAGGACCAGAGCAAAGTGAGGGTCAGGGCCAAGGGTAATGTTCATGTCAGAGACAAAAAATTAAATTTTAAAGTACATCTCCCAGCCAGGGATTTAGCTCAGTGGTTCCACCACCTGCCTTGCAAGTGCAAGGTCCCTAGTTCAATCTCTGATACTGAAAAACAAACAAAATTACATGCCCCACCAGGCCCATCCTTCATCTCCTTCAAGGTGCCAGATTCCCAAAGAGCCCTCTCTGTCCAAGAAACCTGCATAAGGCAGCCAGCTCCATGGGAACTTGGCCTTTCCTGAGGCTCCAGATTGTGCCAAGCCAACTGGCCTTGTTGGAGCAGACTCCCAGGCAGTCTGTAGTCCAGAAGGAAGAGGACAGGACCACTCAGCTCTGACCTTCAAGAGCTCTCTCCCAGTCAGGAAATGACAGAAATAAGGTTAGAAAATTACAGACTGAGGGCAAGAGCTTGACTCTAAGCTCCAGCCTTAGGAAAAGTGTGTATGTGCAGGGGAGGGGGATGATTCAAACAAGAAGACTGTGCAGCCAGGCATGGTGGCACTCGTGAGTCTGAGGCAGGAGGATCACCATGAGTTCAAGGTCAGCCTGGATTACATAGTGACCTCAAGGCCAACCTGAACTATAAAGCAAGACCTTCTCTCAAACAAACAAACAAACAGACAAAAAACTGTGAAGAGGAAGCAAAGCTGACAGGAGAATCCCTCTGGCATACAGAAGGGGGTTGGACCAGGCTGACCTTCTCAAAAGCGACTAGATTTAGGCCCAGCAAGGTCCCAGGTCTGGGGTCCCTACATATGTAGCCACTTCTCTCTCCTCTTCCCCAGGGTCTGACTCAAACCATGAAGCGCCACACAGATCCTGAAGCCCTACAGAAGATGGCCAAATGTGCTACACAGGACTATAGCTGTAAGAGTTCTATGTCAGGCCACCCCTACTTGCCTGAGAAGTACTGGCTCTCTCAAGAGGAAGGTAGGGCCTCATCCTTCACCCAGCTCTGACCCCAGCAGTGACCCCAACAATATGAACCCAGTTTGGATCCTGACCTCCATCCTGAACCTCCATATATTTTACCTCTACCCTTGATCTAGGCCTTTCCCCTAATCATCACCCATTCCAATCCAACTTCCAGCCACCTGTCCTGACTGACTCTGGAAGAGATGGCCAAGTCCCTGAATTTTGAGAGGTCTCTCTGAAAAAGAACTGGAAGAGCTCTGTGTTCCATCCTAAGAGAGATGGAGAGGATATTAACTTCCCCCAAACAAACCCCTCCAAGTGCATTTCAGATGCCATCTCCTCCCACCTTCTAAGCAACCTTTCACATTAGCTCTCTCCATCTCTCCTGTATTCCTTTGTCCCAGCACACAGCTTTTCTTAACCTGGAATATCTTCTAATTTCTTCCTGCCAAAATTTCTATCTTGCTCCTCTCTTTTACAGCCAAGATTCCTGAAACATAGACTATACTCATCATCTCTACTTCCTTACCCCTTCATATGCTTTACGAAAATTGTCTTTCTCCTTGGCTCTTTCTTTTTTTCAAATTTAGTTTTTGTGTTTGTTTGAGACAGGGTCTTTATATGTAGTTTAGGCTGGCCTTGAACTCAATATGTAGCTCAGGCTGGCCTTCTGCTCACTGCCTCAGCCTCCCCAGTGCTGGGATCACAGGTGTGTGCCACCATGCCCAGCTCTTCTGTCTCCCTGTCCATTCCAAAAGAACAGAATATTGTTTTATTTATAGGCAATATGTCTATAAAGTGTGTCTCCTCCACTGAAGAGCCTCTTAAGTACCAGTCTTCATAAATATTTGGTGAATGAATTGACTCAGGTGAAGTCAAGAGTTTGAATCTCTCACAGTCAAACACTAAAACTGCACATGAGAGGCTGGGGATGTAGCTCAGTGGTGCCTTGCCTCCCTGGCAAGAGCAAGGTCCAGAGTTCAATCCCTGGAACCAAAAAAAAAAAGATTATATAAAACTGCACTTGTATGGTCGTGATCACCATATTCATGGGATTCATCGTTCTTTACCCTCGGAGCTCCACCTTAAGCATTTTAGCATTTCATTCTTCTGACCACCCTCTAGTCCTAAGACTACCTCCTTCCTCAGCTTCTCCAATGTCTCACTTTGTTGAGTGTCTTATGCATCCACGCACTGTGGAAACAGGTTCCTTGGGGCCCTCTTCTCTTCTTGCTCCTCCTCCAAGGCCATTTTATCTAACTTACCCTTGACTTTAATTCTTGACAGCCCCAAGTTTTTATTTGCAGCCTTGAATTCACACCAGAATTTCACTCTCACCAGGCATGGTGGCACCTCCCATGAGTTCGAGGCCAGCCTGGGCTCCATAGTGAGTTCAAGACCAGTCTGAGCTACATAGTGAGATCCTCTCAAAAATAAAAAATCCACTCTCTTTCATCTGATTGCAATCATCTCTATGTAGATGTGTCCAAGAACATCGAACTCAGTGTGTATAACCCACCAATTCAGAACTACAAATCCTAACATTCCACCCCTCCTCTTACCCACCTGCTCTCCTCTAGAGTTTCTTTCATCCCATATCTCACATGAGTTCTTTCAGACTATTGAGGAGTAGATCGCGAAGGGCCTTGTAGGACAGGCTTAGATGACAGGGGCTGTGTTAAAGCTTTTTAACTGGGAAATGTCTTGGTCAAATTTTCACTTGTGTAAAAGCACCACAGCTTCAACGTTGAGGTTGGATTGTACAATTTCAAAGATGAGGCAAGGAGACCAGAAGGCTAATCATAATAGTGTTCTATGTGCCAAGCATTGTTCTAAATGTTTTATTGTTTAAACTTCACAACAACCCTTCAATAATACTATTACCCATATTTTAAAGTTGAGGAAACTGAGACAGGATTTTTAAGTAACTTTGTCAAAATCACACATAGTTATTAATTGGCAGAACTGAAAATTAAACCCAGAAAACCTGTCTGCAGAGTTCATTCTGTTAACTATGACATTATATTGTCTTCTGGATAACACAATATAACAACTGTCTTATATGATAAAATAACTATATTTCCCCTGTGGTTAAGGCAGTACAGAGATAAGACAGTGAGATCATGGAGGATGAAAGATGGGACAGACTGAAATGAGTTTTAGGAGGTAGGATAAGCAAACCTCAGGTTCTGGATGTGGAAGACGACAGGGGGCAGGGGGTTGACAGAGATAGAATGAATTGGGAGGAGGCTCAAGGTTGGTAATTCAAAGAGGATAGAGCCAGGAGGAAAAGTGATCAGCAGGAGCCGGGATATAGCTCAGTGGTACCAAGCACGAGTCCCTGAGTTCCACTCCCAGTACCAAAAAAAAGAAAGAAAAGTGATCAGTAATGGATCCCTGTATCTCACTCAAATGCTTCCTTTGGGTGAGCTTTACATGTGCTGCATCTCAGTGCCAAAAGACAAGTGTAGTGGGCCGGGGATTTAGCTCAGTGGTTCCACCGCCTGCCTCGCAAGCGCAAGGACCGGAGTTCGATCCCCGGTACCAAAAAAAAAAAAAGACAAGTGTAGGGCCAGGCTGGGCTTGGGGACTGGCCTGAGGGAGGCTAGTGAGAGTCTGCTTTGTGCTGGGAACATCTAGGGTCCCAGATCCTGGGTGGAATAAGGAATAATATAATCTGACCTCTCTGCCCCTATGAAGAAAACAAATGCTGCCCAAGTTACCTGGGCAGTGACCCATACTGCACTTGGAGGACAAGACCTTACAGCAGCTCCTACTGGAACAAGTATACTACCTGCCTCCCTCGACTGCCTAAGGTACCTACTCTGCCCACCACAGATGCCCCCGGTCTTGTTTCCCTGCACACACCATCTTCCAATCCTTTCTCATGAACAATGCTCCAGGGCTCTTCCCCATGTGTGAAGCTAGGGCTTGTATTTTTTAGCTGAAAACAGAGTCCAGAAATGTGACCATGATAGGCCCCAGGTCCCAATCTCTGACTGGGTTCTGTGAGGACATGTTTGGTGTGCGCTCCTTGACTGCTACCTTCGTGAAGCTAGCCTAAAGACCCTTCCCTGTCTGGTCTGACCACTCATACCAAAGCTGCCCCAGGAGCCAATAATGAGTAGGGTGTCCCTGATCCACTCTCCTTCCCTTTGTGATGTGAGCAGGGACAAACAGCAGGAGAGCAAGGCTACTCAATAGAGAGCAAATATAGGAGACTCTGCCATGGAGGTAAGAGGGAGTCCAGCCGCAAGGCCAAGCCGATTGCAGGGAATGGGATAGGACCTAAGGCCAGAGGTGCTTAACTGTAGGTTGATGGCGGATTGAACACTTGAATTAGAACTTCCTTGAAAATCAGAAATTTTCACAAGTTCCCTTGATAATTTTGATGGGCAAGCAATATTGAAAGCCTCCTATTAGAGACCCACAGGCACAGCTAAACACAGAGGGGTAAAATCAAAGGCACAAGCTGAAGCTGAGCGGAAACCCCCTCCACCCCAGCCCTCCCCACCTAGCCCCACCCCCGCGGGCGGAGTGAAAGCGTTGCTCGGCGACAAAACCAAACACTCCGCGGTAGAAAAGCTGGCAGCTGAGGGGCGGGGAAAGCGCCGCCAGGGGATCGGTCTGGGTGTTCTGAGAGCAACTCTTCCGTGTCAGAGCTTGAGATGGCATGCGTGCCACTTCCAGGAGGCCGGGATGGAGACAGCAGTTCGAGGAATGCCTTTGGAGTGCCCTCCGAAGCCGGAGCGCCTCAATGCCTATGGTAAAGGGTGGCGGGGCAGGGAAGAGGAGTGGTTACCGAGAGGGAAGGGAGGCGAGGAAGGGAGGGCCGGAGAGCTAAGAGACCGCGCGGAGGGCGAGGGTCCTGGACGGGGTGTAACTGTCTCTACCTGTCCTGTTTCTGCCTCTGCTTCTCACAGTCTCTGACCCTACCCCTTCCTACCCCTGTGACTGTCTCTGGGTCTCCTGGGCTCTGGACCTGCGCGGGTAGAGCGCGACGTCGTGGTGAACATGCTGAACTCGCTGTCCCGGAACCGGACGCTGCCGCAGATCACGTCCCGTTGCGGATGCGTGGAGCCGCTGCCCGGCCGCCTGCCGTTCCAAGGTTACAAGAGCGCCTGCTCGGGCCGCCACTACTGCCTGCGCGGGATGGACTACTGCACCCCCGGGCCGCCGTGCACCGAGCGCCGCCACCTGCGGGCTCTGTGCCCAGAGCAGCCGACTGTAAGGTTCGCAGGGATCCCGCCTGTCTCCGCGAGCTCCGCCCCACGCGAGCCTCGCGGCAGCCCCGCCCCGCTGGCCCCCTGCTCCTCCCCGCCCAGTTGTTTTGTTTTGTTTTTGAGACAGGGTCTCTCAATGTAGTTCAGGTTGGCCTTGAACTCACTATGTAGCCCAGGCTGGCTTCGAACTCGGTAATCCTCCTGCCTCAGCCTCCTGGGTGCTAAGATTACAGGCGTGTGCCACCTCGCCCGGTTTTCCACACCCAGTTTCTATCCCTGCCCCGCCTCCACTCTTAGCCCCTGGCGGGGACTCCAGCCCGGCTCTGCTGGCTCAAAGAGCCCCGCTGTGTCCCTCCCTCCGGCCTCTGGACACAAGCGGACACCTGAAATGGAGAACCCGGCCCTGTCACTCCCGAATCGGGCTCAAGAGCAATCTGGCCCTGGTGCGTGCTCTGGAGGACCTGCCGTACAGAGTTTTTGAGGATTCGAACCCCCACACACGAGTCTCATCCTCTTTCCCACCCACCAGCCCTGACCTCTATCTAGACACCTGCCCCTGGAGACGCAGGTTCTAGCCTGCAAAATGCTTTGTGTTCTCAGAAAAAAAGATATCATTGATGGGAGAATGAGCCAGCAAAATGGTGACTGCTTTCCCCGAGCGGCCTTGGCTTCCTCAGGGCCCCGCATCTCTCTGAGACAGGCACGCTTGCTCACTGCTGAGGAGGCTGAGGCCGGAGCTCAGACTGAAGCATCGAGACATTTGTCCTGCACTTAGTGCAGGCCAGACAGGCCAAGCTTGGGAAAAATCCTAAATCTTCAGCAGTTTATACAGCCGTGCAGAGGGGATCCAGTCCCCATGCTAGTCCTCCGCCCCTCCTCAAGCCGAGAAAGCCCAATTCATTGTGCGAGACTGGGTCCTATCCCTCACAAGGGTATAGGGTTATGGAAAAGTGCCTGAGCCTCTAGGACGCTCAGAAACGCTGCCTCTGTGGGACTGGAGAAATTGCTGTTCCAAGGCGGGGATCTGGGGAACCCAAATCCTCAACGACTGCAGTCCTACCGTCCCCAGAATCCAGAGAGCTCCACACCCCGCCCTAGGCAGCAGAAATTAGGCCTCGAGGGGAGGGGACATCTAGGACGTCTTCCCGGAGGCGTCCACAGTGGGGTTGGTCTTGAAGGGTAAGAAAGGAGGGGATCCCAGAGCTGTAAGACTGATACTTGAAGGGCCCCCAGGTGCCTGGTCTGAACTGTGGGAATACGAGGGTATTAAAAGGCCCAGTCTTCCATTGCTCACCGCTTGCTTCCCCAGGAGCACCGGCCCGGAATGCATTGTGCTGTTACAACTGCCCCGCCGTCATATTACCCATATCCGAACCTTAGGTAAGTCTGGTGTACACACACACACACACACACACACACACACACACACACACACACACACACACACACACACACACACACACACACACACTGGCAGTTGTTCCCTTAGCGTGGTGGTGGTAGAAAAGGGGACTAGTTTGGGTAGGAACGTCCCCCTTGATGCACCGACAAGAAAATGCCACCAGGGGGCGCTAGTGCCATGGGGAAGTCAAAACTAGCAAGGGCATGGAGGGACCCTAGGAGTAAGGCAAGGAGGTCAGTATTGAGGGTTAGTTAGTAGAGGTCTTAGATTCAAGGACGTTGGGTTCAGGGCTTGAAGTGAAGGCTAAGTAGTCAAGCTAGGGAGTATGCATTGGGCATCAGAAATTTAACAGTACAACCTGAGGTCAGGAGGTCAGTGTTGGCCCATATCCCAGCCAAGGGCCAGAGTTAGTGGCAAAATGTTGAGATAAGTTTGGCACTGAGTCAGATGTTCACTTTGATGTATGAGGGTCCATAAGGGCTTACCCATCTCTCCTTGCAGATGGGACACAAGTCACTTCAAGAAGACTGGTGGTCCCCAGAGAAACAACTATGTTGTCCACCCAGAGTTTGTGTCCGAGACTTATCCCAACTACCATTGCTGGTAGAGCCTGGGCTGGTCAGGCTAAAGGGTAGAGCAATAAATTCTTCTCCCCAAGGGCTGCCTCCTGTGTCCTTTCCCAGGAAGATCTGGAAGTGAGAGGCCAGTTTCTCAAAGTCACCCAGCCCTGAACCCTCCAAACTCCCATGATTTTCCTGAGTGCTTTCCTGATACATAACAGTAACTCTAATCCAGCTAGTGTTCTCCTCCCCTCCACTATAGAGCCTAAATTGATGAGTCCACCGAACTGTGTAGAGAGGAGCCATCTACTTCGCACTCCCATGAAGTGGGAAGTTGACACTTCCCCAGTGTACCCCCAAATTTATGCCTGTCGGAAGACACATAACCCTCCCTTCCGCTGTAAAAGCTGTGTCCCCAAACTTGCTTCCTGCTCACAGAGTCTCCATTATGGTCTCCCAAAAGTCTCCCCCACTCAAAGCATAAGGGACCCAAAACAATTTTGGAGCATCTCTTGACCGAGAAATTTCAGATTGTGAAACAAAGCTGTTATCTTGGCCCTCAGAGATGTTCTGCTATCTCTAGGGTTCTTCGTTATTTTCCTTTCTCTATTAAAGATGTGAAATCTCAGAGTCTTCCATCACCCTCCATCCCTGGGAGGGGTAAGAAGGGCACGCCCACCTCTTCCCTGCTCTCTCCTAAGAAAAAGCTGTCACTAAGAGGAGGGGCTGGAACCCATAAATTAGGCAGGGGCGGCAGGGAGTTGTAAAACACTGAGCAGAAACCCATCTTCTCAGTCCCTGACCACGGACTGGTCTGGTTCATTGGGCATGGACAGTTTAGGCCACTGGCTGGTTGGAACGACGAGCTCCCTCCATGGGGCTCTTCACTGGAACTCTCCTGCAGTGGGAGCTGATATCCTCCCAGAATTGCGCTACTTCTTTTCCATGTGAGAAAACTGGTCGGCTGCAGCTGTCATACACATCCCCAAACAGGAGATGCAAGAACCCCAACATTCTGCAGCTGCTCCTTCCCCCAGAACTACATTTCCCAACAGGCCTGAGATCAAGCCCGCCCGCTGGCGGGTAAACACAGGCCCGGTGGGCCGGGTCCCCAGTGGGGAGACCGAGACCGAACCCAGAGGCAACGGCTAGAGGATGGCCTGCGATGCCAGGGGCAGGGCCTAGGGCAGTAGGACGAAGGTGAGGACTTAGGGGTGGGGCTTCAGGTCCCGCGAAGATGTGTGGGAGGGACAGGCTCCAGAGGCGGAGCTGGAGGCTGAGGCCCGAGGCGACAATGGACGGCTGGGCGTGGCCGAGTAGCCCAGGGGCGGGGTCGGGGAGGAGCTCTGCTGTGTCCAGCCGGGCAGAGCCCCGCGCTGCGGGCTGGCAGGTCGCGTCAGACTCGCATGGAATGGATCTGCGGAGGAGCCCCTCATCCACACTGCTGTCAAGCCGTCACTGTCGTGAGTGAGCCCCGCGGAAGGATCTTGGGGCGGGTGGGGGTGCGCTGCTAAAGTTGCATGATTCCTGAACTTAGGCTCCTACGGACCAGTAGGTATGGCCACCCTGGACACCTGGGCTCCTGCACAGGCAGGGTTCCCAGAGAACGACAGTTCCTCTGACCTTCGTCTCCCCTTTGGACAGTGTAGTTATCGAGTGGGGCGCCAAGGGTGGGTGTGGAAGTATTCCACACTATGTAGGCGCAGTCACTCGATCCTCGAGGATCCAGTCTCTGGCCGGGGAGGGAGATGGGCCGGATCGAGTTGCCTTTGACATTTCCACCACCCCGCCCCGCCCCCCAGGAACGTGTCAGACAAACGACTGTACTTGGAATTACCTTCTCTTAGTGGAGCCCAGCTAGGCCCTCTCCCTCTGACCAAACTAGGGGCCAACAGCCAAGAAAGGATGAGTATCAAGCTGGAAGAGGCTCCGCAGGGGCAGAGTCCAAGGAAGCCGGCCTGAAGGACCCTACCTGCTAGCATTAGTCTGTGGTTGGCCAGATGGCGGAGGCGGCAGATTACAGAGGTCTCTAACCACTGCTAACGCCGGAACTACAGAGTTCCTCCTCCACAGTCCCGGTACCATATGCCATTAAAATTGCTCCTTTCAGGGCTGGGGATTTAGCTCAGTGGTTCCGCCACCTGCCTTGAAAGCGCAAGGTTCTGAGTTCAATCCCCGGCACCAAAAAAACAAAACAAAAACAAAAACTGCTTCTTTCCACCGGAAGTGGTGGTACACGCCTGTAGTCCCAGCACTCAGAGGCTGAGGCAGAACGATTACCATGAGTTCGAGGCCAGCCTGGACTACATAGTGAGACCCTGTCTCAAAAAAAGCTGCTCTCAAGCCCCTAAGAGATCTTCCTGGTCGGTCTGGAGCACAAACCCTTATCTGCCACACTGATCAGGCAGCCCGGTCAGACCATTATCTCCCATGTCCCAAAACTTGCTGTAGAGGGTGGAAATAAAATTTTAAAGAACGCAAGCAGGCTGGGCATGGTGGTGCACGCCTGTAACCCCAGCGGTTGGGAGGCTGAGTTAGGAGAACGGCCACAAGTTCGAGGTCAGCCTAGGCTATATAGCAAAAACAACAGCAACAACAACAACAATAACAAAGAATGCAACCAAAATTGCTACCTAGATGACTTCAGACAAGCCCCTTTTTCTGTTTGGGCCACTCTTTCCTCATCTGTTAAGTGGGAACTGTAGCTAGCCCTGCTGCTCCATATTGTTAGGGATGAATATACCAGCATGGTGTCCCAACAGAGTGGGTACCCAAGTCTGAGGCTCCTGTACTTCATCACAGAACCTTAGAGCCAGGCAGTGTGCATACCTGTAATCCTATCACTGAGGGAGGCTGAGGCAAGAGGGTGCAAGTTTGAGCCCCACCTAGGCAACCTAGGGAGATACTGTCTCAAAATTTTAAAAATGAAAAGGACTGGGGATGTAGCTTAGAGTTAGACTGTCCCTGGTTTTGATCCCCAGTACCAAGAGAAAAAAAATTTAGAATACTACAATTTAAGATTCTCAATCATGTTTCTTTTAAAATTTTTATATTATGGTTATATTGATAGAAAAATAAATTATAAAACTTCAAAAATGACCATTTTAAACTTTAAATTAAAATAAATGTTTATTCAAAGAAACAAAAAAGATTATCAAAACCCAAAAGTTAGAAAAGGCTTGAGTCCACCAAGGTAGCTCTAAGGGTCATGAGAGAAGTCTGACTTAATATGGGGAGGAGGATGAGGGAGTCTCTGTCCTATCTAGATATGAACCTCCTTCCCTTTATTCCCTTGGTGCTGTCCAGAATGGAACCATGGTTGTCTTGAATGAATGAATATGAGTGTTCTGCAATTCTGGCCTGGGCTCCTAAGGCCTTCTTTGGGTTCTGCTTAGCTTTGAGGGTGTCAGCTTAAAGCTACTACCTACATTTTCTTTTTCTTTTTTGGGGGGGGGGGGGACCTGGGATTGAACTCAGGGATTGAACCTGGGATTGAACCTGGGATTGAACTCCTTGCACAGCAGGAGCCAGAACCACTGAGCTAAATCCCTGGCTACTACTTGCATTTTCCAGGAGGGTTTTTATAACTTGTACCTAGAGAGAGGAAGGGGAGGAAAGCTAAGTTATGTGGGCTGAGAGGAAGTGAAGAGGCTGTTCCAGATCAGGAGGGACTGAAAGTTTAGGGAGTTAGGTGAAGGGAGCAACTTGGGTTGGGGAAGGTATGAGAAAAACCGTGTATTTGTCATGTAGGATCAAAATTCTGATGTGCATCAGTCTTCATAGTTTCTGCATTGGGTAGCTGGAGGGGTTAAAAAAAAAACCCGAATAGTTCCAGCACCTCTTTGAAGCCACTGGAGACAGAGACAGCCACTGGCATCTGGGAGGAGGCTAATTACTGTTTGCCAGTCTCCCTCTCTTCCCACCCCCACCCCCCCACTGGAACAGTTAGGTAGCTGGCTGGCCAGCTGGGTGTCTGCCTGTGTGAGCACCTGGCGGGTGCTGTTCTTTGTTGGACTCTGCCCTGATGGCTGGGACAGAAAGGGTCAGTAGCCTTGAACAGCAGATTAAGCACATACCTTCCTCCAGGCCTACGTTTCCCTGCAGTCCTATCTGGGTGTTCAGAACACAGTTTGTGAGAATATGTGTGTGTAATGTGGTCATCTGATCCCTACAGAGATGGTAGGTGGAGGAGAGGCTCCCAGGCTGGAAGGATGAACTCTCCTGAGGCAGGTGGCCTGAAGGATTTGGGCTGGGTAGAGACAAGATAGGCCTAGCTGGAACAGAATCAGAAAGGTAGCCGAGACTGATGTCTTAAGCTTTGATTACAAAGTTTACACATCAAAAAAAAGTTTACACTTTTGAATTTCATCAAGGGGCTCACTGTGCAGTTCTCAAAGGTAGGGACAGATGTGGTTTGATGAGTGACAGATCACTATGGTTTCACTGAAGGGAATAAAGTTGAGGACAGGGAAGCCTACTGGCAAAGTGTTGCAGTACTACAGGGGAGAAGTGACAGTGCCCAAACTAGGGAAGGGGCAGCAGCAGGACAGTAGGTGGGTGGCAGAGACAGAGGTAAGAAGTTGGTGGCCCACGGAGGTTGTACTGGTAAACAAAGAAAGGAGACTGTGATTAATGGCTGAAAGCCAGGTAGAAATACTATGGAACGAGAAAGCTCAGTTTCCTCTCTCTTCTTCCCTTTCAGACTCAGGCCAGGTTCAGATGGACTTGGTCGGGTGGCCCCACTGCCTGCTCCTTCCTTAGCTGGAGATTGATTGATGCCCCAGAACCTTGAAGAGAAGAGCCAAGCCTACCCTCGCCGCCGCCACCCCTCAGGCCAGAAGAGCCCTGAGGTCAGCGTGGCCGCAGCCATGTACACCTTTCTGCCCGACAACTTCTCGCCCGCCAAGCCCAAGCCATCCAAAGAGCTGAGGCCGCTGCTGGGCTCCGCCGTGCTGGGGCTCATACTGGTGCTGGCTGCCGTCGTGGCCTGGTGCTATTACAGCGCCTCCCTCCGCAAAGCGGAGCGCCTGCGCGCCGAGCTGCTGGACCTCAACCCCGGTGGCTTCTCCATCCGCAACCAGAAGGGTGAGCAGGTCTTCCGCTTGGCCTTCCGTTCGGGTGCATTGGACCTCGACTCCTGCAGCCGCGACGGCGCCATGCTGGGCTGCTCGCGCACCGCAGACGGGCGCCCGCTGCACTTCTTCATCCAGACCGTGCGGCCCAAGGACACCGTCATGTGCTACCGAGTGCGCTGGGAGGAAACGGCGCCCGGGCGCGCGGTGGAGCACACCATGTTCCTGGGCGACGCTGCAGCTCACTGGTATGGCGGCGCCGAGATGAGGACGCAGCACTGGCCCATCCGTCTGGACGGCCAGCAGGAGCCGCAGCCCTTCGTCACCAGCGATGTCTACTCTTCCGACGCCGCATTCGGGGGCATCCTAGAGCGCTACTGGCTATCGTCGCGCGCTGCTGCCATCAAAGTCAATGATTCAGTACCCTTCCACCTGGGCTGGAACAGCACAGAGCGCTCCCTTCGGCTCCAGGCTCGCTACCATGACACGCCCTACAAGCCGGCAGCCGGCCACATCGCAGCACCCGAGCTCAGCTACCGTGTGTGCGTGGGCTCAGATGTCACCTCCATCCACAAGTACATGGTGAGGCGTTACTTCAACAAGCCATCCAGAGTGCCAGCGCCCGAGGCCTTCCAGCACCCCATCTGGTCCACGTGGGCGATATATGGGCGCGCTGTGGACCAGGACAAGGTGCTGCGTTTCGCCCAGCAGATACGCCAGCACCACTTCAACAGCAGCCACCTGGAAATCGACGACATGTACACGCCCGCCTATGGCGACTTCGACTTTGATGAGGCCAAGTTCCCCAACGCCAGTGACATGTTCGACCGCCTGCGCGAGGCTGGCTTCTCCGTCACGCTTTGGGTGCACCCGTTTGTCAACTACAACTCCTCTCGCTTTGGCGAGGGCGTGGAGCGCGAGCTGTTCGTGCGAGAGCCCACCGGCCGGCTGCCCGCGCTGGTGCGTTGGTGGAATGGCATCGGCGCTGTGCTCGACTTCACGCACCCAGAGGCCCGCGACTGGTTCCATAGTCACCTGCAGCGGCTACGCTCCCGCTATGGCGTGGCCTCCTTTAAGTTCGACGCGGGTGAGGTCAGCTACCTGCCGCGGGACTTTAGCACCTACAGGCCCCTACCCGACCCCAGCGTATGGAGCCGGCGCTACACTGAGATGGCATTGCCCTTCTACTCACGGGCCGAGGTCCGAGTGGGCTACCAATCACAGAACATCTCATGCTTCTTCCGCCTCGTGGACCGAGACTCGGTGTGGGGCTACGACTTGGGGTTGCGCTCGCTCATCCCCGCCGTGCTCACCGTCAGCATGCTGGGCTATGCATTCATCTTGCCAGATATGGTTGGTGGCAACGCGGTGCCCGAGCGTACAGTGGGCGGCCCCAATGGGCCAGACCGCGAGCTCTATGTGCGCTGGCTGGAGGTGGCCGCCTTCATGCCCGCCATGCAATTCTCAATCCCGCCCTGGCAGTACGGCGCTGAAGTGGTGGCCATCGCGCACAAGTTCGCGGCACTTCGGGCTTCGCTGGTGGCACCGCTATTGCTGGAGCTTGCTGGTGAGATCACTGACACTGGCGACCCCATCGTGCGGCCCCTTTGGTGGATCGCACCCGGCGACGAGACAGCTCACCGTATTGACTCTCAGTTCCTTATCGGAGATACACTTCTTGTGGCGCCTGTGCTGGAGCCGGGCAAGCAGGAGCGCGACGTCTACCTGCCTGCCGGCAAGTGGCGAAGCTACAAGGGTGAGCTTTTCGACAAGACGCCTGTGCTGCTCACAGATTACCCAGTCGATCTAGATGAAGTCGCTTACTTCACCTGGGTGTCCTGATCCAGCCCAAGACCGGGAATCCCACAGCCCAAGCTCCAGCCTTTGTGCAGACCTTAACCCTCCTCACACTCAAACCTTCATCCCCAGGAAGTCACCACCTTTCTACCACCTAGTACTTGGGTGCTGATTTAGGAGTGCTGGAGCCAACTGCTGTGGGTGGGACCTAGGGAGGGGACTTTGAAGCAACCTCTGGCTCCAGTGCACAACCCTAACAGTCCCCTTTCCTCCCACACTCACTCCAGTCTGCAGAAACCTCTTTTCTATGGTGGAGGCAGAGACCTCAGAGGAGAGGTTGGTTTTCTGTCTGTTACACGTGGTCTGGTTTTAAAAGCACAAGAAGAGGGGATTTAGTGCAAGGTCCTGAGTTCCATCCCTGATACCAACAAAAACAGCAACAACAAGCACAACGAGAAACATCTTCCCTCCATCCTAGCCTTCACAGCCATCTTTGTCCTTCCAAGGTGGGGACTCAGTCCTCTTCAAAAGTCCCAAAATAGTCCCTGCTACACTTAGAAATCGTTCATTCTTGGTGTTAGAAGCCAGGCTCTGAGTTCTCAGCAGATGCCTGAACCGTGGCTGACCTGGTCCCACTCGAGCTGAGGAAATGGCCAACTGACAAGGAGGCAAGGGCTCCCCTGGGGGAGTAGGAGCATCACTGTTGTCCCTATTTGTGAAGAGACTCCTAACACTGCACTAACCCATCTGTGTACATGGGCACAGCCATGGGCCTGATGTGCCTGATGGGCACAGACTTGTAGGGCCGTGCAGGCCAGACTTGATGCCTTAACTCCAGAATGTGTGTGTGTGTGTGTGTGTGTGTGTGTGTGTGTGTGTGAAAGGGGGAGAATGGCACACACCATGGGTCCTGAATTTCTATAGAATAAGCGCAAGATCAGCCTGGAAGGAGGGGGACAGGGACAAATTCCAGTCTTTGATTGTTGAGCTGGCCCTTGCCCAGGTAGTTTCCCCGGGACTCTGATAGGAAATAAACAGCTCTTTCAAGATTCCTTGGCTCTGCACACGTGGCAGGGGTGTGATCTAAATGTGAGTAATGTTCTTATTCTGGCAGTGGTGTGTTTTGGCTACACACACACTAACATCTGCCAATACATATACAGGGTAAGTAAGGTCCTTCATCTCAGCCATTTTCCTTAAAATCAGCCTTAGCCAGAGTGAGTTTTCCCTGACTTTGCAGTGGAGTCAAAGAGAGGAGTGGCTTGCCAGATTGAGGAAGTGGGAAACAGGGTGGAGCTCAGCTTCTCTCAACAGCTCTGACAAGTGCTCTACTACCTAAAGAATGCTTCCCCTTGCCCACTTCTCCTACCCCCTTTATATTCTCAGTGTGAGAAATGCCTGATGAAAGCCTTAGGGCTCTTAGAGATGCCTATCTCTAGAGCCAATTCAGCTATGTGACCGTGAACAAGCTGCTTAACTTAGCAGAGCCTCAGTTTCCTTATATGTATAAAGACTACCTCCAAAATCATCATGCGAATTTTAAGCACAGATGTATGTAAAGTGCCTGGCACAAAGTAGGTGCTCAATAAAAGGTAACTGTTATAATACTATTTCTTGTTTTCTTGCTTAAAAATAAGTATTCTTTCAGTGCTCAGTTCCCAGTCCCTTCTGGGAACAGCCTTATTCTGTCCCCCATCCCTACCAGTACCCTTGTATATTCCAAGTTTATCTCTCTCCTTGTGAATCTGGATCTAGGAACCCTGATTCTCCTTCAGGGAGCTTCTAGCAAGCATGTCATAGCCAGAATTCCTCATTGGTTTCCCCTGGGCCTGGGGACTGTGTGTGTGGTGGTGGTGGTAGGAGAGTAAAACAGCATTGAAGAACTCCATTCTCTAGAGGTAATAGGGATGGACTGAAGAGGAGCCACTGCAGGAAACCTGGGTCTGGGGCCTAGACTCCCATTCTATGACCCTGTCTTCCTGGGAGTCTGCTTCAGTTTCCTTTCCAACTCCATATGAATGGGCTTAGTAATAGCCAACCTGTGAGGTGTGGGTTTTCTGGGAGTTTTTGCCTTTGTTCCCCTAGATTTGAGTAAAGTATCTCTGACCCTAGCTCTGTTTCTGACCACCCACCAGGGTAAGACTTCTGCTGATTCTCTTTACCAAACACTCTAGGCCCTTCTCTCCTCCCCAAGTACAAGGCTAATGTTGACCTCTCTGTCCTTCAGCCACTATCCCATATCAGACCTGGGTTACTGTAGTGGCCTCTCAACTCTTTCCACTCTTGGACCCTTGAATCCAATCATCACAGCAGCCAAAGAAATCTTTCTGAAATTCAATCATTTTCCTTAGGGGGAAAAAATCTATACTGTGGTGTCCAGGCTTGTAAGATCTGGATCCTTCTCACACTTCTGTCTCTGTTTCACTCACACACATACACACAAGCATATTTTGAAAAGCATTTGAAGAAAATACTACCTTCTGTTCTGGGAACAGCTATGCAAACATTCCTGCCAGAAAAGGCTTCTCAGACCAATCCCTGAAGAAAAACTTGTCGCAAAATTGGGTGGTTTCCTTTCCTGCCATTGTTTGACTCAGTGGGGCTTCTGCTGACATCCTACCCTCTCCAGTGCACAGCCCAGCTCCAAAGAAACAACCTGCTTCTTATCCTAAAACTGGTTATTTCATCTGTTCCAAGTTCTTTCCAGCAGCTTGAGGGGAGGGGAGATACTTGGTTTTAGGTGGTAAGCCCTGAGTTTGACTTTGGGTAGTGTTAGGGGCGGGGGTGATTTGGGAAAAGACAGAGGAAGAGCCCCCAGGACCCCCAGTCTAGAAAACAGGAAGAGGTTGTGCTTCTTGTGCTCTGTATCCTTGTACTATTTTTCCCCTCCCAGGCCTCTTCCCTCTCCCCAAGGAATCCAGTTGAGAACTTCCTGTTATATAATCTCAGAACCCAGGTATGGTAGCACTGCCTGTAATCCCAGCCCTCTGGAGACTGAGGCAGAAGGATCACTGGGAGTTCAAGGCCAGTCTGGACTCTATAGTGAGACCCTGTCTCAAAAACAAAACAGAAAAACAATATAGTACTGGGAAGGATGGATGGTGATTGGGTGTGGGAAGCAGAATAGGGGGAGTCTGGCTGCATACCGACTGCACAGCCTCATGGAGGCAGAAGCAGGAAACTGGTGCCAGATTCCAGAAAGGAAGGAACAGGTGGAGACAACAGCTAGATGGATGGAGAGGTTGGCCTGTACTTTCCAAACACAAAGGCCACACCTGCACAGGAATTTCAGTTGACATTCTATTGTTATAATTCCATGCCTTTAGGTTTTCAATTTAGCAAACAAATGCCTTCTGTGGAGGTGTAAGTTATTGTTATAAAGGTCAAGACAGCATTTTGGTTTTCTAGAGCCTCTATTACATTACTCTAAGAGGGAGAAACTTAAGCCCTCCCTGTTAGGGATATATTCTTCTCACTGGGTGGAGGAGGTGGTACTGGGGAAACAGGTGGTGCTTCAGCTAGGTGAGGAGATAGGAGGGTGGTTATTAGGGCAAGCTTCTGGGAAGAGATGCTCTGGAGTTTGGAGGGCCCCTGATTAAAGGAAAAATTGCCACAACTCTGTCCCTTCATAGGTGAAACTATATCAGAAAACAAGGTGGTAAACCACCTCCCTTCACTGCCAGGTGTCATTCTCACCCTCAACAGGAAGAGGTGGTGATTCCCTGCATATTCATTCCAGTGCCTGAGACACTAGTTACTTTCTAAACCACCCAGCCATTGTGGGCCAGACCCTTGTCAGGTCCAGTTCAGGTTCATTCAAGCCCAGGTACATGCTTAGAACACTTCCTTCTGCTTCCCTGCCCAGTGCCCCCACATCTGTACCACTGAACTTCCCAGGCATAACTACCCTGAACCCCACATTGAACCCTAATCCTGACCATTGATGATTCTGCCTGGCCCACACACCCTCCAGACATGGCACAGAAGCCAGACTAGGACTTTATGGCTCATGTTCAGGGCCAGAGGCACACTGAGTCTAAATGAAAACCAGCCTAAACCAGGAGTTCTTAGCACACACCTGTAATCACAGATATTTGAGAGGCTGAGGCCGTAGGATTGTAAATTCAAGGCCCACCTAGACAACTTAGTGAGACCCTGACTCAAAAAATAAAAAGGACTAGGAATGTAGGTGAATGAGAATAAGGCCCTGAGTTCAACCCTGTAGTCCCAGGTACTTGGAAGCCTGAAGTGATTACAGGTGGTAAGAAACAGAAAACTTGAATAATATAATCCAACCAGACCTGACAGACATCTATAGAATACTCTATGAACAACAACAAAAGAGTCATGGATATTCTTCAGGAGGGACAATCTGTTATTCCATAAAATAGGGCTCAATGTCTTTTCTTTCTTTCTTTCCTTCTTTCTTTCTTTCTTTCTTTCTTTTTTTTTTTTTTTTGTGGTACCAAGAATCAAATTCAGAACCTTGTGCTTGCCAGGCAGGTGCGGTGCCACTGAGCTACATCCCTGGACCTCAATGTCTTTAAAAGAATAGAAATCATCCAAAATATACTTCTTAGTCACAATGGAATGCAATTAGAAATCAGCAACAGAAGGAAATGGGGGAAATTAACAATTGTGTGGAATTTAAACCACACACTCCTGAGTAACCAATAGTCGAAGAAATCACAAAGGAAATTAGAAAATACTTAGAGATAAATTAAATTGAAAATATACTAGAACATAAGAGAGAAGTGAAAGCAGTACAGAAAGGGAGATTTATAGGTGTAAACACCTATATTTAAAAAAGGAGCTATTATGAAAAATAGTAGGGAGGTACCACAAAAATTTAAAAACAGAACTTCCAAATGATCCAGGAACAATACTTGTGGGTATAGATTCAAAGGAAATGAAACCAGTATGTCAAAAAGATATCTGTACTTCCATGTTCACTGAAGCATTATTCACAGTAGCCAGGATATAGAATCAAACTTACTGTATACTGACAGATAAGTAGATAAAGAAAATATGCACATATACAATGTAATATTGTTAACCTATTAAAAGAAGGGAGTCAGCTGGGTGCAGTGGTGCATGCTTCTTATCCTAGCACTGGGAAAGCTGAGGCAGAAGGATTGCTCTGAGTTTCAGGCCAGCCTGGGCTACATAGTGAGTTCAAGGCCATCTTGAACTACATAGCAAGACCCTGTCTATAAATAAATAAATAAGGGAATCCTGTCATCTATGACAATATGGATGAACTTAGAAAACATGCTAGGTGAAATAAGCAGGCACACAAAGACAAATAACACATGATCTCCACTTATATGTGTAATTTTTAAAAGTCAAACTCATAGAAGCAGAGTGTAATGGTGGTTGCCAAAGGCTGGTGGGGAGCAGAAGGAATGGCAAGTTATTGGTAAAAGGATGTGAATTTTGAGTTAGGATGAATAAGTTTTAGGGATCTCATCATAACATGGTGACTATAGTTAATACTAATGTATAGCTGTGCATGGTAACACATGCCTGTAATCCCAAGGGCTGAGGAGGCTGAGGCAGGAGGATTGCTGTGAGTTCAAGGCGAGCCTGGGATATACAGTGAGACCTTGCCTCAAAAAACAAAACAAACAAAGAACAAATGTGTGTGCATGTGTGTGTGTGTGTGTGTATATATATCTATAGATATATATCTCATAATGTATAAATGCCAAAAAATCTGAGTCTAAAACATAAAAGAAGAGAAAGAAAGATCTTAAATCAAGAATCTAACCTTCCACCACAAGAAAATAGAGAGAAGGGCAAAGTACACCCAAAAGAAGAAGGAGGGAAATAATAAATACTGGAGTAGAAAAAAATAAAAAGAATAGAAAAGCAACAGGGAAAAAAACCCTAAAAATTAGATAAATTAACAGAATTGACTCCTAGCTATTACTGACTAATAAAGAAGAGAGAAGAATAAAATCACTCAAAGCAGGAATGAAAGAGAGGACATTTACTACAGACCTTGCAGAAATTTTATTAAAAGGCAATGCTATAAACAAAGGGATGCCCACAGATTAAATTAAATAGATGAAATGGACACAACGCTAGAAAGACACAAACTGATGAACCTGGCTGAAGAAGAAACAGAAAACTGAATAGATGTATAGCAAGTAAGTAGTTTAAATTTACTAATTCAAAACCATCCCACAGTGTATTACCCTGGGTCTGACTCCCCAGCCCTGCAGACAAACATACTCAAACCACCACTGCCGCCCCCACTACCGCCACCACCGTCACCACCGCCACCGCCACCAGCAGCAGCAGCAACAACAAAATTCCAGTTCAGCATGGTGGGCACCCGCGTAATCCCAGCACTCTAGGAGGCTGAGGCAGAAGGATCACAAGTTTAAACCCCAGTCTGGGTAACTTAGTGACTTAGCAGACCCTATCTAAAAAAAATATTAGCAAGCCAAATCCAGCAGCACATGGAAAGGATTATACACTAAGACAAAGTAGGATTTGTCTCAGTCATGCAAAATTGGTTCAACATCCAAAAACCAATCAATGTAACACTCATATTAATCAGATGAAAGATAAAACCACACAATTGTCTCAGATGGAGGAAA